GGGAGGGCGGGGAGGCCGGCAGGGGTTTGCACGTCCCCGGGGAAAAGCCCGGCGGCGGCAGCGAGAAGGAGGGAGGTGGCAGAGCTGTGATTCACGCCCCGAGGCAGCGCGGGGCTGGGAGCTAAGCCCAGCACTAGCTTAAAAATTGCTTAAAAGTAATTCCCCCCCAGCCAGGAGGCAAGGCCATTGAGGGGGGTTTGTTCAGGGAAAGCTGCCGCCCTGGGATGTGTCTCGACAGCGGCCCCACCGGGTGCCCAGCCCAGCCGCCTCCGGCGCCCTCCCGTCCCCCGCCGGGAGCGCGGGGGCTCACGGGGGTGAGAGCATCTGCTCCGGTGAAGGGAGCCGACCAGGGACCTTGCCAAAAGGCATGTGGCCTGGTTCCGGCTGGGATAGAGTTAATTTTCTTCTTGGGGGCCGGTATGGGGCTGTGTTTTGGGTTTAGGATGAGAACAATGTCGCTGATACACTGATGCTTTGGTCCTTGCTGGGCAGTGCTAAGCTATTGCTAAATCGTTGCTGAGCAGTGCTCACACTGGTCAAGGGCTTTTCAGCTTCCCCTGCTCTGCCCGGTGCCCGAGGAGCTGGGAGGGGGCACAGCCAGGGGGGCTGCCCCCGCCTGGCCCCAGGGCTATTCCATACCCTGTGGCGCCATGCCCAGTATAGAAACTGGGGGAAGAAGAAGGAAGGGGGGACGTTCGGGGTGATGGCGTTTGTCTTCCCAAGTCCCCGTTACGCGTGATGGAGCCCTGCTTCCCTGGGGATGGCTGAGCACCTGCCTGCCCATGGGAAGGAGGGAATGAATTCCTTGCTTTGCTTTGCTTGCGTGCGCAGCTTTGGCTTTGCCTATTAAACTGTTCTAATTTATTTGACTTCAATTATTAAACTGTTCTTATCTCACCCCACGCATTTTCTCCCTTTTACCCTTCCGATTCTCTCCCCCATCCCACTGGTGGGGAGTGAGCGAGCGGCTGCGTGGGGCTGAGGTGCTGGCTGGGGTCAAACCACGACAGGCTGACAAGGAAAAGCGGGAGGCAATAAATGCAGCACACAGAGACACAGACCTGGCCAACAAATGGCAGCGGAGATAAGTATAATAAACGAACCTCATCACTTACGCGAATCGCTGGACTATCACAGATCTGCAGGCATGACCTCAGGGAGGGCCAGCCTGGCTTTTGCAACCGTAAGGATGCGAAGCTGGGGGGTCCCAGATAGCGGGGGGTGTCAGTGGAAGTATGCGAGCAGCTAACGGCGTGCGCAGCGGAAGGGAATCAGGGAGGGCAAGGTGGGGGACAGGCAGAAAGGGGTATGAAAGGGCCCGGCCGCGGGTGAAACAGCGCCGGTCCGTGCGCTTGGCTGGCTGGTGAGCTGGAGCCTCCAGGGCCAGGCAGGGGGGTCAGGCAGGCGGAGGGTCCATGCTGGTGCCTGGGGGGCCCAGGAGTGCGGGAAGCCCGTGGGACGAGGGTGCGAGCGCTGCATGTTTGCAGTGAGCACCAGGCCGGACCAGCTGGCGAGCAGGGGACCCGTGGGGGGTCAGAGGGCCCAGGGCCTGGGCAGGGGCACTGGGTGGACAGAGGGGCCTTGCTGCTCCTTGAGGGTCTGCAAACATGCATGTGAACCCAGACAGCGTCACATCCGTGCCTGCATAGTGACCGCCTGCCTCTGCCAGCCCCGCAGGCGGAGGGGACGCAGCTGCCTGTGCTGGTGGGTGGCCTGGGTCCTGCAGGTGGGTGCTGTTGAAGGCAGCGCCTTGCCTGCGGCAGGCTGTGACCCAGGGGGTGGGTGGGTGCAAGTTTAACCCTGCAGCAGCCCCCACCATGCCACCATGCGACAGCAGTCCCTGACTGAACAGTCCCTGCTGAGCCAGTCTGTCCCCAGCTCTGCCTTCCCAGGCCCCCGTCCCAGCGCCAGGCAGCAGAGCCATCTGGCAGCAGGTCTCCTTGCACTCTATTTTGTGTACAAGTGGTGGCTTTCAGAGTGGTGTGACAAAGCAGCGTGGGTGCCACCAGTTCCCGCCAAGCGAGGGTGAGGCCATCGCCCCTGGGCACATGAAAAGCTGCCTGGAGAACAGAGAGGTGGGACGCAAAGTCCAGCACCGGCTGTTCCCCATTCACCAGTGGAGCAATCGAAGTACCACATGCCCTGCAAACATCTCCACCCTGAAACCTGCTGGCAGCGTGACAAATCTGGGCAAGCAGCACCTGTGAGGAGCCAGACCTCTTCCCTCATCACCGGACAGAGCCTGCACACACCCAGAGCATGGCCACTGGTCTGTGGCTGGTGTCCAAGCGACATCGCACCGGGCCGGAGGTGCACGTGGTGCCACTGACCCCGGAGGGCTCTGAGCATCCTGACGCAGGAAGATACAGCCCCTTCCAGCGGTGCAGCGGGCTCTTATCACCCACCCGCAGCTGGCTGAAGGGAGGGGAGACGCAGCAGATCCTGTGATGCAAACAGGACGAGGGCACTGCAGGAACGTCGGCGGGGAACTCCCAAATTCAAGGGTTAGATGAGGTCACACGTCTGCCAGCAGCTTCAGAGCATGGGAGGCGGTCGCCAAGAGGAGGGAGGTGGAAGCTCCATGGTCTGGTCCCCCACAGAGAGGCGAAGGTGCCGGGCTCCCAGCTGTGCTCTCCGGGCCGTCCAGCCCCTCTGGACTTGGATCTGCTCCCTCGAACAAGCTGGAAATGCTGTGCAAGCCCAGCCCAGCCATGAGCTGATGGTCAGGGGAGTGGAGAGCAGACTGAGGAACTCCAGACCTATCCAAAACCTCCTTTCCTGGAGTCAGCCTGCAGGTGGGTGCTGGCTGTCTAAAAAGTGCCTGAATGTGGTGACTTCCATCATACCTCCTGCTTCTTTATCACCTTTAGGTGGTCTCTGAGTCTTGCAATTTCCACTTTCAACAGGGAATCCTGCCTCCCCTCCTGTTGATTTTCTGCACACATGCTGGTATCCAGGATGGAGAGGGAAGAGAGGGAGACCCTGGCCAGTGAGGTGGAGGAGATGAGTGGAGGAGGTGAGTTTTTAGAAGGGAAGAGGAGAGGGAACTGTACTCTGTTGAGGAGAAAATGCATCTTGCTTCTGCTGTGGAAGAGCTATTTTGGGTCAAAGCACCTGCGGCTTGTCCCAGCCCGGGCTTGTCATGGGGTTGAGGCTTGGTGGCTGCAACACCCCCAGCTGAATTCCTCGTGCTGTAGACCCACCACCAACACCAAAGACACCTGAGCTGCCATGCTTGGCTCCCTCCATGGCCCACAGAAAGAAACAGGAATCTGGGGCCTTGGGGTAATGTCTGTTGCACTAGTTTGTGCCTAGGCGTTCCTGTTTCACTCCTGCAGCACTAGAGACACCCAGGCTCAGGTCCAGGTGTCTGCACCCATCCACTCGGGTGCATCCTCCTCCAGGACATGGGGTCTCCTTGGCCAGGGATTGCATAGAAGCTCCTGGATCCGGAGCAGGGACAGGATCAGGGCAGCATTGAGGCTGGGGCAGTCCAGCACGAGGGGGTTTCCCACCCCACATTGGACATCTCTGGGCAGGGGCAAGGAAATTGCCCTGTCCTTTCTCTTGCTGGGGTGGATGCAGCCCCAACACACTCCTGGGGCTGCCTGTCCTGAGCAGCTTCTCCTCCTCTGTCCCCAGCCGACATGGCCCTGGACCCAGACACCGCCAACCCCTTCCTCATCCTGGCTGGCGACCAGAGAGGCGTGGGACGGGGGGACGAGTGGACCTCGCTGCCCAACAACCCCGAGCGGTTCGACACGGAGCCATGCGTGCTGGGCAGCCAGGGCTTTGCCGTGGGGAGGCACTGCTGGGAGGTGGAGGTGGCCGAGGCGGGGGACTGGTGGGCTGTGGGGGTGGCCCAGGAGTCGGTCAGGAGGAAGGGGGTCCTCAGTTTTACCCCCCAGGAAGGGATCTGGGCCGTGGGGCAGTGGTTTGGACAATACTACGCTTTCACCGACCCTGACTGGACTCCCCTGCACCTTGCCTGCCTCCCCAGGGCCATCCAGGTCTGCCTGGACTTTACAGAGAGGCAGGTGGCATTTGCTGACGCTGAAAAGAAAGCCCTGATCTTTGCTTTCTGCCTGGCTTCATGTCCCAGGGAGAGGCTACGCCCGTGGCTCTGGGTGGGGATGGAGTCGTGGCTCAAGCTGTGCCCCTGACACAGAGGGAGCGTGGGTGGCAGGGGGGAGACTGGAAAGGCGAACGCCATCATCTTGGGTCTTGGTGCTGGGAACTGGGAGGGTCCTGTGTCCTGCTGGCTTCTCCTCACATGGTTCCTCTGGCCACCAAGTGGGAGGACTCGCAGGTCCTGGAGATGGACACCCCCGAAGAGTCTCCTTCACCCCCTCCACCCCGCAGCTGGGACTGCAGAGACAATGGGGAGCACAGAGATTCGGTGCATGGAGGAGCTTGGTGCCCAGTGGCCCCAGGGCAGAGAAGTGGCACTGAGTGCTGGGGCATTGCAGAGCTGCTCTGTACAAAGCCATGACAAATACAGCAGGTTCAAACTCCTTAAAAGGTGCTGGAGTAGTGTCTCTGGCTTTTTTCAATTAAGCTTAATCATTAAATTAAAAAAAAAAACAAACATAGCTGGATGCTGGGGCTCATGATAACGCTTATCTTCTCCATACATCCAAAGCCTCTCATTGCCTTATTTCCAGTTCTCAGACATGTGCATTAAGCACATTTCTTACAGCAGAGCAGTAGTAAAAGCTGTAGGGACAGCCAAGGAAGGTAAGCAAGAAATTGAGGAGTGTCTGAAGTCCACAGGCGAGCCAGTTCCCACAGACGTGCTGGTCTCTGATCTCCCCCATCAAGGTCTCCTTTGCCTCACACACAATAGACTGGACTAGTTCAGGCAGAAGGGACCTACAACGATCACCTCGTCCAGCTGCCAACCACTCCAGGGCTGACCAAAAGTTAAAACGTGTTATTAAGGGCATTGTCCAAATGTCTCTCAAACACTGACTGGCGTGGGGCATCGACCACTTCTCGAGGAAGCCTGTTCCAGTGTTTGACCACCCTCTCGGTAAAGAAATCCTTCCTGATGTCACATCTGAACCTCCCCTGGCGCAGCTTTGAACCACTCCCATGCATCCTGTGACTGGATCCCAGGTTGAGGAGAGCAGCACCTCCCTCTCCACGTCCTCTCCTCGGGAAGCTGCAGAGAGCCATGAGGTCGCCCCTCAGCCTCCTTTTCTCCAAACGAGACAAACTCAGAGTGCTCAGCCGCTCCTCAGAGGACGTGCCTTCCAGACAGAGATCTGCTCCAGAGAACTAGCATTTTGGGGGAATGACATTCAAAGGACTCGCTAGACCTGGAAAAGGTGCGTGGGTCCCTGCTCCCCGGGACCTTGCTTTGTCCTCTCCTGCTAACTCCTGCTCTTGGGAGACGAAAAGGTGAATGTAGGCAAAGGGGAACATTGCCTGGGTGCAGCCTAGATTTCATCTTCTCCAGCCACATTGCTGGCTGGACCCTCTTAGTGCCAACTCAGTTGTCACCTTTGTGATGGCAGCTGGGCACAGGCAACAGCCTTCGTCTCCCTGGTCTACTCCAGTAGCTGGAAAGAGTTGCAGCCCCAGGTCAGGCACAGATATCCTGCCCTGGCACTAGGGGACGGGCTCACCAATCCCTCCGGCACTGTCCAGGGACAGGTGACATCCCGTTGTACCTGGGCTCTGCACATCCGTGGGACCAGCAATCCAACAAAGCAGCCCAGGGGACCATCCAAGGAGCCAATCCCCAGACTCATGCTCCTGACGAGCACAGAAGAGGGGCAAATCCTGGTAGGAATGGATGAGGTCTCCAAGTGGCTGCCCACACCTTGGTGCCAGCACGTCCTCAGCTCCTGGTGCCAAAGCTGACAGTGTGCCGTGCAGGAGGAGGGACAGCTTACCCCTGCCGGGGCCGGGGCTCTGCATTTCCACGAGCACACTGGGAGGAAGGCAAGGTCCCACAGCCAGAGCACAAAGGCAGCTGGGTTCGTGTCTGGGAAGAGCTGGAATCAAACCCTGCAGCAGCACCACAGCCAAACCCAGCAGGTCACCCTGGGCTTCTGGCCACAGAGCAAGGAGAAAGGGGTGAACCCTTGCTCAAGCTATGACTTTCACAGATGCTTTTTCACACCCCCCCCTTTCCAGCGATTGCATTAAGCATCCGAGGCAGAGTTTGTGTTTGGAGCATTGTTTCTCTTCACCGGTCTTTGAATTCCCTCTGCTCCAGCCCCCAGCCTCCCTTTCTGCTTTTTCAACAGAAGTAGATGGAGCCAATGTGTTTAAAGCCCTTCTTATCTGTCAGCAAGGTCTTGTGGGATAGAATTTAGTTTCACATTTGTTTGACCAGCATTTGAACTTTGATTATTTATATAAATTTGTTTATTCATATTACTTTGGTTATTCGTATTTTTTGCTCCTACAATGCAATGCCACAAATCCTGGCAGTTCTACAAATCAGCAAGTCTCAAACCACCAATTCCTACAGCCTCTTCCTAAACTTCAGCGAATTCCTGGTATTAGCTCTTTGGCTGGAGAAGATCTAAACCTCTAAATTTTCTTTCCAAGAGCCTCATCACAACCAGAGAAACAAATTGAATAGTCAAACATTGAAGAATTATGGGGTGCACTGATTTGTTAAAAAGCAGTGATTATAACTCCACCCACAAAATTCTTTGGAGATGCAAATCCTCCTAGCACCTCCCAAAAAGACAAATATTTACTTTTGTTTTCTTGAGCTAACAGAAGAATCAAATCAGGCCAACCACAGGGACTAACACATGGAGGCTGCCCAGGCCGCAGGGCTACAGAGCGTCGCCCCACGGCCAGCTGGGCTGCTGAGCAAGGCTTCGTCCTCCTGACCCACCTGCCTATTTCCTCAGGTAAAACCATACCATCACCAGGCACTCCAGTGCCCCTGCTATCCCCCTCAGTCCCCCTCACGGCTCCCGTAAATAAAGTACGTCCCCAGAAATGGCCATTCTTCACCCAGAGCCCTGCTCTAAGCCTCTTCCACTGTGGTAGGATCAAGGCTGGGGAAGCCCATGGATCTCTTCTCCCAGGGAGGCAATTCCTACTCTCCGTGGGCAGGCAGAGTGGAGTTCAACAGCCCTGAGGCTCACAGCAGAAGGTTTGGAGATGGAGATGGCAGAAGATCTGTAAGCAGATGGGAGTCCCCAAGGACTAGCCAGATGGGGATGCAGGAGGGCAGGGTGGCCACAGCAGAGCCTCCTCGGAGGGACACCCCTCCTCAGGTCTCAGGACACAGTCTGAGCTGGGACCCCTTACCCACCCAGAACCAGGGGTGGATTCGCTCCCCCGCAAACGTGGCTCGCGGGAAAGTGAAAATCACAGCCTCGCTGTCCACGTTGACAAACATCACCTGCCCCCCTGCATGGTCCAGACAGACCCGCACCCTCTGGGGGACCATGCTAGGGAGGACAGGGGTGGGAGATGGGGAAGTGAGAGCCTGGAACTTCTCCTTATACTGCCCCACCGCCCAGATCCCCCCCACGGGGCTGATGTCAATTGGTCCCTTTCTCTTCACGGACTCCAGGGCCACTCCCACCGCCCAGCAGGACCCATAGCCCACCTCCACCTCCCAGCATGGTCGCCCCGAGTTGAATCCCTCGCAGCCCAGAACACAAGGCCACGGGTCAAATCGCTCCGGGTTGTCAAGCCGGCTCTGCTGTGTGGCTCCCTGCATCACACTTCTCTGATCTTCCGACAAGATGAGCCAGGACTGAGCTGTGTCTGGATCCAGAGTCACGTCCACTGCAAGAGAGAAGATGGGTCAGAGAACGAGGCGGTAGAGATCAGTCCTGGGAAGAGTTTCACCATGCTGGGTCCATGTTTGGTCCTGGCTTGGGAGAAAACCTGGCAATACTTCCAGAAGGTGGTTAGCTCAAAATGGGGAGCAGCTCTGTGCCCTGAGCCAAGGCATGTGAAGATTCACCGTCCCCCAAAACACGTGTCGCGTCCCTCGCCACCAGAGTTAACGGGAGGAGGCTCCCCAGCAGAACTCACCCTTGGTGTACGGTCCCTGGGGTTCCTCCACTCCCTCCCCTGTGTCAGTTGTCAAGGCCTCTGAAAGAGAGATGGAGCCCAGAGGTCACCTCTGATTGATAACACCACCAGCACTGGGAGGCAGTGGGCAGAGACACTGCACCCTGCCTTCCCCAGCGCACACGCTGCTTGCTGCGCCTGCCGGCTTCTCCAGTTGAAGCAGGAAGGACAAAACCTAAAGCAGCAGGAGCAGAAAAGAATTTGGGGCTACCTAGCAGGAGATGGACATGGACATACTGCAGCCTGTCTGGTGGGTCACCAAGATGGTTTGAGGAGTTGTGGGATCTTTGTCTTCAGAGATATTCAGAACTCAACTGGAGAAAACCCAGAGCATTCCCACCTAGCGGTACCTGCTTTGAGCAGAGGTTTGGACTAGGTGACCTCCAGAGGTCCTTTCCAGCCTAACTGACTCTGCACAACGCCAGGCTCTGCCTGACAGCCCTCTCAATCACTTCTTTGGGCGTGAGTCTCCTCGTTAGGAGAGCACGAGCTGAGAATCATTCGGGCATACTGGGCCATCTGGGACTTGTTCACAACCTTGACCCACTTCCAACCACGGAGCAGGTCTGGAGCACAGATCGAGAGCAGAAAGAGCTGTGGCAGCATCCAAGCCAGGTGTTGCACAAAGGGTGCTGGAACAGGTTCACATGCACAGCAATTTATCAGTGGGCTGCACGGCTGATGATGTGAATCAGCAATAACGTTGACTATTCTTTTGGGGAAAAATAAAAGCAAAGGGAGATGAAGAGAGAGCGGGGGGCGCAGGGGGGAAAGGGAACACCCTCCCACTTTCGCTGTGACACCTCTCCAATGCGTCCCCAGGGCAGAACATGCTACACAAGGATATTCAGCTTTTTCTCCCTTCTGCAGGGCCTTGACGCATTGACCACCCCATTCTTTCCACCCCCGGGATGCCTCTCTGTTCTCCTCTGAGATCCCTGCTTTGTACCTGGGGGGTTTCTTGCTACCTCCTCTGGCGTGGGAGCTGCTTCTGAGCAGACGCCGGGCTCCTTCTTCAGCTCGTGCTTCATCTGCTCCTTTTGCTGGAGATTTCCCCTCTCGCACCTGGAGTAAAAAAAGCCACAGTATTTATATTCCTCCTTTAACTCAGTTTCCTGTTAGTGCCAGTTGCTAGAGGCCACTTTCCAGCTGGATCAACACCCTCCAGAATGTTCATTCTATTTATTTATTTATTTATTTATTTATTCATTTATTTATTTATTTTTAACACAAGAGCATCAGTGAGAAAAGAGACAGCAGGTCTCACTGGCTGGGGCACTGCTCTGCCCTGATGCTCTTATTGCCAATTAAATTTCTATTATGAGTGATGGTCCTGGTGCCCCCAGTCCCCCTGTCCCTTCAGAGCAAACTTGTGTCACAAGCAAGTGCTGAAGCCTGAGCCAAGGGCCCCGCGCCCTGGTCTCTGCGCCTTAGTGTCGCTCTGCAGCGCTCATGGAGGAGCCAACCAGGCTTGCAACCAGAGACCTTAGAAATGAAATTTCCTCGAATATTTCCCCAGGGACAGACTTTCTTGGTAGAGTCACACTGGTTCATCAGCCTCTGGAAAACTGAAATATAAACATCAGCGGGGCATCCCTGGTATTTGAGGCACCCAGCTTTGTTCTGGAGCAGGAATCTTTGCAACCCAAAGCAGAAGTGTGCTGTAAAGGAGAAAGCAACACATACCTGCTCAAAACATCACCAGCATCCTAGACGGGAGAAAGAGAAAAGCAGCTCAGTGCTACTTATCCTGCACACACATTCCTGACGTTCCCCTTACGCAGGGAACGGCCACACCAGCGAGGTAAGGTTAATAAGTAAGACAATCAAGGTAAGATTAGCCCGTCGCGTGCTTCCCATTTGCTGGTGCCTCACGTGCTGTGTGCCAAGACAGCGCTGGTGCTTCAGCAGACCTCACCTGCAGGGACTCATGTCCTGACAGCTGGCACTCCTTCTCCTTGATCAGGCCATCCAGATAACTAATCTTCTTGGAGAATTTAGCAGCATTTTCTTTCAATCTTGTTTTAAGCTGCTTCTCCAGCTCTCCCAGCCGAGCCAGCAGCAGGCACTCTTGCTCCTCCAGGTACTGTCTCAGCTGCTTAAATTCAGGCGCAATCTTCTGCCTCTCCGCCTTCACTTTTTCCTGTACAAGCAGAAGCAATCCTCTCAAGGGAGGGCAGGACCATGGGAAGAGGCAGCAATTAAAAGCATCCACAGCTTTTACTTTCTGGTGTGGAGCATGACTGGGATTCCTGGGGCGCTTATTGTGCACCAACAGCTGGACACAACGATTCAATCTCCCAGCTCCAAAGGCCAAGAATCAACGTTTCTTCACCCTCCCCAAACAAACTTCTTCCCGGTAGCACTGTGCTCCTACCAGATAGTCCTGGCAGATCCATCGCTCCTTCCTTTCCCGTTTCTCCAGTTCTCCTTTCTCTCTCCGGAGGCTCTCCAGCTGTGACTGCATTTGCTCCTGGAAGAGGAGACGTCCTTTAGGAGCTCCCCACCACCCACGTGTGTGCTTTGTGTCTGTTCCCTGGTTGGGCATCAGCAGTCTCTGGCACAGGTGGCCATCTCTGGGCCTGTGGGTCCAGGATGCTCGCGAGGGTCGGTGTGACCCAAAAGCGATGAGGGAACACGCAGGGGAAGAGGACTGGGGAGGAACCGGGGAGGAACAGGCAGAAAGGGCTATAAAAGGGACTGGTCACTGCGCCTGTCTGACCCAGCCCTGCGCCTGGTCCCCGCAGTCTGTCCTGCCTTCTCATTAAATCCTTTCCTAACCACCTTTTTGCACGATCTGTCCGTATCCCATGGGTGTGCGTGCTGCAAGGACACAGTGCCGGTTCCTGGGGGGACCAGCGCGCATGGACGTGGGGCAGCTGCTGCAGTCGGACGGGGGTGCAGGAGCCCCGGGGCTGCGGTCGCAGCTCCTGGAGTCCGTGGGTCTCAGTGCAGCTGCTGGAGCAGCTTGGGGTCCCGAACGCCAGCCACGGTGTCTGGGAGAGGGCTGTGTCCCCAAAACCAGCTACTGGGGGGGACTGGTGTGAGTGATGTGAGCGAGGAGCTCAGCACTGGCAGCTGGAGTGGAACCACAGCCCAGTCCCTGCATAGAATCCCTATGGAGTCAGATGCCAAAAATCAAAATAGTATTAAAGAGCGATTACAATCCCTATCGCCACCCTGGTCCGGCAGACAAGCACCGTGCCAAGGGACGCCGGGGGGCCACCGGGGCAGGAGATTATAATGTCATACATGGAAATGCGCAGCAGGGTACTGAGGACAGACTCCCGTTACCCTTCTGCAAACTTGGCAAACGTTATATCAAGCCCCAAAGCACGGAAAAGGGAAACTGCAGCAACAGGGAGCCATCGGTTAAAAAACAAACAAACAAAAAGCATAGAGGGTGCAGTTGCTGGCTCCTTGCAGAGAGCGTGCGCTTTTGCAAACCCCAGACTGGAAAGCTTTCCAACAGGTATCTATAAACATCGCGTTTGCACAGAACGCCTTAGAAAGCAGCAAGCAGACCGATGTAAAAAGCTACGCAGCGCAGAGCAACCCCCCGCCCTCGCGCGTCACGGCAAAGCGCCTCGGTAGGGGAGGTAATTAGCGTGGAGAAGGCGGCCTTCCCTCATCAACGTGAGGAAACGGCCGAGAAAGGGGCAGGGAGGCCCGCGTGCCCTCCCCGTCGGCGGCGCGGGCGTGCCCCGCCCGCCTCAGCCGCTCGGCGATGTTGCCCAGCGGGCGGTTGGGCCGGAGGCCGCTGCTGCCGGGGAAGGGCTGCCGGCACTGGGGGCAGGAGGGGGCGGCTGCCCGCGCCCAGCACAGGGAGATGCAGGCTCGGCAGAAGTTGTGTCCGCAGTCCAGCATCACCGGAGCGCAGAAAAAATCCAGGCAAATGGAGCAAATCGCTTCCTCCTGGAGCTCCTCGGCTGCCGCCATGGCGTTCGGGGTGGAGGCGCTCGGGCTCTTTCACTTTCGGTATCGGGAAGGGAGCGAGTGCGGGGGCTGGGACCCGCGAGGAGTCTGGGCCCGCCGGGCAGCTCTGGGAGCCCCGGTGGCACGGCATGGCCGGAGGAAGGGGAACACAGCCCCCAGCGCTCCTTCCATCCCGCCCTTGTTTAAATTAAGGGGGGGTCTGGTGTTTAGACCTGGTTGACTTTAACCCAGAAGGAGCCCTGCTGTTCTTAGCAGGATTTTCCTCCGTCAGTCACCCAGCTCACACCCTTCAAACCCCCTTTCTGCAGACCAGCTCCCCTTTTTCTTGTTCCTCCTCCATCTGCATTGCCCACAGTGGTTTGGGTTTTTTCCCTCCTTGCCTTGTCCTCCTTCGTAGGTCGCACTGTTGCAAAGGTGATGTTTCTTCCATTTTTCTCTTGCTTCATTATGCACTTCACGACGCTGCATGTTCACAAGCCAGAGGCAGGCAGGACTCTCCACCACGATGCTCGCAGCTCATTTCAGATCAGCTGCATCTTTCAGCAGTGGCTCATGGTCCTAGGGAGCGATTGCTCTCAGCCCAGATTAACCCCAGGATTATTGCTTTTGGGTGTCTTGTTCCACCCCCCCCCCCCCTTTTTTTTTTTCTTTTTCCCCCCCCCCCCCCCGTTTATTTTGAGCTCAGGCAGCTGGTTGGATGCATTTAAGTCTCAGCAGTGCTGAGAGCGTTTGCATGAATCAGCACGCATGTCATCGATAGCCATTTTGTAGGGATTTAAAGATATTTAGACAGATTTCCTTGCCTCTTTAGTCTGCTCCTTCCCCTGCCACCCGGATGCACGGAGCACTTGGCAGCACGCTCTGGTCTCCCAGCAGACCAGGCGGGTGAGTGAATCACTGAGCCAAAAGCCCTTCACTGGAAGGGTTTATCACCTCGCCGTTAAAGGCAGGGCATGCACACGAGCAACGCTCACCCAGTGTCACCCAAAGCAAATATTTTCCGTGTCAGAGACTGAGCTCTTTGTATTAACCCATAACGGCGTGGTGGCCAGAGCCCTGGTGTGTCCCTGGACAACCACAAAGGAGCAAAACCCTGCTGAGATGGTGCAGGAGGTGGCACAGGCTCCCTCAGCGAGGGACTTCACTGCAGGCCCCTCTTGCATCCATAGCTGCCAGTGCCTCCTCGCTAGGGTCCGGGTCCAGCCCTGCGCTCTCTGTCATCTCCTCCTGTTCCTCCTCGTAGCTCATGGTTTGCATCTGCGGAAAGAAATTGCATGCACCTGCCCCCAGCTGCTTTGGAGGTTTGCTTCTAATTAAACATTTCTCTCTCCTCCTCTTCGTCCCCTCCGGTCCTGTTCCCCAGCTGGGTTTGCAGTGCCGGGGTCTGATCCCCCCGTCCTCACCGACGGAGCGGGGCGGCCCTGCTGCCTTTCCCCGGGGACGAGTGCTTGGTCCTTGGGGGTGACCTGGCTCCGGATGCCGCAGTTGTCGCTCGTGAGGGGAAGGATGGGGACGGGGTGCAGACGCCAGGGTGCTGAGGCGGGACGGAGCTGCTGAGGCGCTGCGTCCCCCAGGGCTGTGCGGATTCGAGACCTTCGGCCGCCCGGCTCTCTGATGGGGAATTTCACCTGCTTGGTTTGAAACGGCATCAGAAACGAAGACGCCCAGCTGGAACGGAAGGCGACAGGTTCGCAGCCTGCGTCTGCAGACTTCAGGAGAGAAAGCTCTTAAAAATGAAGTATCGACACGCTGGATGGCAGGGGCTGCTCCCGACAGTGAAGCTGCTTGCGACTTTTAGGAAGGAGAGTCTGGTGCCAGCCGGGACACCGCTGCCTGTTTGCTTTGGGTTTTTTACCCAAGAGGGTCCAGGGCAGAAGCACCCCAGAACTGAGCAGACTTGGGCATTTCTATTCTTTCTGTAGGATTATGCGGAGGTGGTAGGTAACACTGCGGCTGGAGATTGCGCCCTATTTCAAGGGGTTTTTTTCCCTCTCACTATTGTCCTTCTCTGTTTAAGACAAGAAACCGAGAAGCACATGTGATCCTGAAATATAAAGACTGTCTCTTAGCTTGATACTGGCTTGGAATAAGATGGAAAAGCTTATTCTTCTCATTTGCCCCGTGCAAAATAATTGCAGTTCCTCATTGCTGTGGTTTCTGGAATCTGAGAGTCAATCTCAGGTGTTGAAAACACGCATAGCTTAGCCCAGTTTTTCTTTCAGTGCCAGCCTCGCCACGGGGCCTGCTCCTCGCATCTCTGGGGAGAACGGGCAAGGAGGCGTCCGAGTTGTGCGGCAGCCGGCGGGGCCCCGGGGGCCGCGGGGAGGGCCCCGCCAGACGCCAAACCCCG